ACACATGCACATAACCACAACAGACAAGATCTCGAAAATATGCGTTTTGTGAAAATGTTGCAGCACTGAGAAAGGCAGACGGAGGGTTTCCAATTTTGACACTCACAGTTTCACAGCTTCTATTTTTTGTTTATTCTGTATAAAAATCTATCTTGTCTATTGCGATAAGCCGCGGCTGATTATCAACAAATGGAATTAATGCAGACCTGATGCGCTTTATTCCACAGGTTATTTCGCTCGGTGAGTTTCTCCTTGCAATTTGGCGTAAGCACAATGCTACTGCTCTTCATCGCATCCAGCAGACATATGATCACTGCAAAATTTGCATTTGTAAAAAGTTAATAGAAAGCAAATTGACTACTGATGGCACTCACATCGACTCTGCCCAGGCGGTACATTATGACACAGCCGCTGGACGTCATTCGCACAGGCTTCATGGAGTACAGGATCGAGATGGATATCCACTAGCGACTCTTGCAGGCGCCGCGAAATCTGTAAAATTTCAGATTTCGATCCACAACAAAAAAATCAATCATGGAGGCATGCAGTTAACGGCCCCAGACAATCTATATGCAGTGAAGCAAACGAATTTAGACACAGACATCGTTTTAATGAAAAGCCATAAATGAACGCCCCTTACCAACATCAGAATAAATACCGCATAGTCGCTCAAACGATCACCCCATCTTTTCATAACGTCTCAAAAAAAAAGGAAAAAACAAAAAGGAAATGATTTTTAAATCTTAAAAAATGCAAGCATCACCGCACTGAAATCAAACCTGTCGAGAGCAATCGGTGTCGGCAATCGCACCATGCAAAAAATCGGATTTTAGGCACTCCAGGACAGATTCAAACGTTCCACCACGTGTTATGACGCTATTCGCGCAGTGTTTTGTGATTGTACTCCTACAGGCTCTGTACAGAACTGGATCCAAATGAATATCGAATTCGCTCTCCAAAATAACTTTCGAAATCTGGAAAAGCCTCTGTTGAAAGAGACTGGACAATCGAAAATTCACTGACTTCTGTGAAAAATCAAGAAACCAGACAATAAATTTCACGCTTTCGGCTGCAATAAATAGGACTAAACAGTGAAAAAGACAACTGTTTTTATTCATAACTCTATTTCAGTGATCATTTAATGAGGCGCTGCCATATTTCCCTTTGCCATT